TCGGCCCCACCCCCTCTCTCCTCATTGGCTCGTTGGCTGTGATTGACAGCACTTGCTGTCTCAGCCAATGAGGAGGCAGAGAGCTGGGATAGCCACAGCTGTTATTCACATTGTTAGATTGCGATGAGGCTCAGGTAAGTGTTGAGGGGGCTGGGGGCACTGCTGCACACAGAGTAGTGTTTTGTTTTTTTTACCTTCCTGCATAGAATGCAGGAAGGTAAAAAAAACCTTTTAACCTTTAAGTCCTCATGCACACTGGACATTTTTACAGCTGCTGTTTTTTTTGGCTTCTGGTATTTTTTTTTTTTTTTTTTTTTTTTCTACAGCCAGTAAACTCCCCAGCATGTTATCCTATGTGTTTATGCACACATGGGCTTTAATTGGCATTTTTTGATAGGAGCGTTTTTCTGGCTGGAAAGAAAAACAGAACTGTAAAAATGCTGATAAAAGCTAAAAAACGCGGCTATCCAGGGTTTTTGTACCTGAAGATTTTGTGGGAGCTGATCACGTGATGTGGTAAAAGGCCAATCACAGCGGCCTTTTACCACGCGGTCAGCCGTGTCCAATGACCTGCTGATCACCTGGAAATGCAGTTGCCGGTTCTCGGCTGCACTTTCCTCACGCTGTCAGATCGTGAGGAAAGTACTGCCGAGAACCGGCAGTTGTCAGAGCAGGGATAGGCACCAATCATCAGTGCCCTGATGATCGGTGCCCAGCAGTGCCACCCAGCATTGCACCCACCTGTGCCCAGCAGTGCGCCCACCTGTGCCACCCACCTGTGCCCATCAATGCAGTGCTACCAGTCAGTGCCCAGCGGTTGTGCCAGTCAGTGCTGTCTTATCAGTACCCATCATCAGTGCCACCTATCAGTGCCGCCGATCCGTGACACCTCATTAGTGCTGCCTATCAACGCACATCAGTGCTGCCTCATCAACGCACATCAGTGAAGGAGAAAAATTACCTGTTTTGAAAAATTTTATAATAGAAACAAAGAATTTTTTTTTTTTTTTTTTCAAATTTATTGCACTGTTTTTGTTTATAGCGCAAAAAGTAAAGCGCCCAGTGGCGATTAAATACCACCAAAAGAAAGCTCTATTTGTGAGAAAAAAATTATCAAAATTTCATATGGGTACAATCTTGCATGACCGCGCAATTGTCAAAGTGTGACAGCGCTGAAAGCTGAAAATTGGCCTGGTAAAGAAGGGGGTATAAGTGCCTGGTAGGCAAGTGGTTAATAGACATAAAACCATAATTTAACTCTTAGTGGGATCATGGAGTTCCTTTAATGGAACTGAGAACTGTAGTTTGAGTAATAAGTTTTACTGTTTGCTCTCTATTACTGCACACTGCTACTCGCATGTCTCCAATGGATTGAAGCGGCTGAATTTCAAAGCGAAGGGGTTAAGTAAACAATTGTTTTCAGAGACGCACAGTAAAGCAAAAGTCTAGGCAAATCGTTAAATACACAGTGGAAATACATATGTTTACTATTTCACTTGTTGAAACATTGGTAACGATGCACAGCCAAGCTTGTGAATTACGCACATTTTCCACACTGCATATGGGACACAGGGCACGAATAGGCCCTGATTAAACCTAAAAACAAAAATATAATTTATTGCCCTTACATGTTGTTGTGGCTGCATTAGATTTATTTTTTTTTTTTAGGCCTTTCCCCTTTTTATTTTCATATAGTGGTTTTTTTTTTTTTTCTTTACAATTACACTTCTGTCCTTTTCATATCTACACTAATTTCTCCATCATATCTATGGAGGCAGCCTTGGTTTGTTCTTCGCTACGTGATCTTTCTCTGCTTCCGATTGAACAGTGAGTCGGCATAATCGCCTATGTCCAGTGAGCAGGGACTTATCCTGGGAAGTGGTTGCATTGGTGAAAGAACTGGTAAAGATAAAGTCTTGACTAGCAGTGCTGCTGCATGTGTCATAGAATTGGTTAAAATGACAAATCCTCTGGTAGGTGAAAGTATCATATATTTTGAGCACATATTTAACAGCTTTCTTGGAAATTCATGTTCTTTTTAAACCTGTTGCATAGGTAATGCCATTTCGGACCTGTTTGTGAAAATGCTAGGGAACTGGCTGTACTGCTGACACTTTGGTTTTATGTAGTATCTGAGTCACTGACCCAAAATGTGCATTCAGAAGTCCTGTCCTCATACTTACAGGTCAGTGCCTTTTTTTATGTACAGAAGTGGTCAGCATTGCAGTCATTTTCAGCTGGCAGTAGCATCCATTGCGTTTCTCCCATGCCCAGTTTCCTATTTTTAACCATCTTTCTCATCAAATTTAAATATAATTCAAGTGGCATTAAAGGTTTGGCTTTAAAAAAAGAAACCTATCATACTTGCCTGCTCCGTGCTGTGGTTTTGCACAGAGCAGCCCCAATTCTTCTTGTCCCCTCCAGCACTCTTGGCTCCTCGCCCTTGATCAGTGCCCCAAATAGCAAACCGCTTGCTATGGGGGCACTAATGCATGCTCGCTCGAGCCCAGCTCTATGCGTCCGTAAAAACAGTCATGGCTTGGTCCTGCCTCCCAGTCTCCTCATTCGTTCATTGCTGGAATTGACAGCAGTGGGAGCCAATGGCTCCCGCTGCTGTCTCAGCCAATGAGTCTTGAGACAGCTGAGGCTCTCATGCACATCACTGGTTTGAGAGTGGGCATAGAATGCATGGAGATAAAAAAAAAAATATCTATCTCTATCTTTTGCCTTTTACAGCCACTTTCATTTCATTTCATTAGAGCTGAATGGCATTTTTTTTTTTCTTGCATTGGAAATTGCAGCATAGATGAATGGCAAACCGTTTTATGAATGAGAACTGATTTACTGTTGTGGGGTTTGCCAATCGTCCAGAGGATCTTCAGTCTTTCTTTGGGCCGCTACACTATTGCATGGTTTGTGGTTCCTAGGGCTTGTAATAAAAAAGTTACTTTGTATAACTTAACTGTTCAGTGAGAAAATGTACAATACATGCAGGTGGGAGGCTTGCGAGCTTGTGACCTGTACAAACTTTGTTACTTGATAACAAACATGTTTAGCAGTATACTGGATTGTTTATTTTAGGTACTTGTATAGCACTGTCACTATATATATATATATATATATATATATATATATATATATATATATATATATATATGTATATGTATATATATATATATATATATATTATTTTTTTGTGCATTCACATCAGTCCCTAACCCTCAAGGTGTGTACAATCTAAGGTCCCTAACCTACATTCATACATACACATACTAGGTCCTATTTAGACAGGATCCAATTATCCTAACAACATGTCTTAGGATTGTGGGAAGAAACAGCAGTATCTGGCGGAAACCCACGCAAACTCCAGGCAGGTGGTGCCGTGGTTGGGATTCGAACCAATAACCCTAGTGCTGCCACGTAGAAGTGCTAACCATTTAGCCATTGTGCTGCCCTATTCTAAAATGAATTATTTAAATTACAACTGCAGTACATTTAGCGTAGCTTATTACTGTTGGGTGCTCTCGCTCCTTGTCCATGCCGTATTGTTCCTGGAATTTAGGCGTGTACATAGGTGTGTCTGCTTGATACTATTTATAGTCCTGCCATGTACTGCACTTCTATGTTCTGTTTTGCTGAAGTATAATCGTTGGTGTGCAGTGATTGGGAAATACCAATGCCTTTGTTATGTAATGCTCGAGGTTAATATTATACTTGTCTGTCTTCTTCCTGTGGGGTGTTTTTTTTTTTTTTTTTTTTTTTTTTTTAATATGGTAGGACATTTGATGTCCTATCTATAGTGTCAGATTATGTGGTTACAAACTCTTATTAACCCTTTTTTCTGCCAGAGCCACATTTGTGCTTTTTGCACACGTTTTTACAAAAAAAAAAAAATTTTTGCCCTGAAGATTACATAAAACCCCCAAAACCTTACATTGTTTCTGAAAGCAGACACCATAGAGAATAAAATGGTGGTAGAACCATTTTTTTTATGAAACACGATCTAACCACAAAGGAAAAACAAAACAAAAAAATCCGTATAAAACAGGATTAAATGACTATTAAGGAACTTGGGGTACCAGTACAAAAAAACCAATACCATTCGGTATCTGTTAAACATTTTATTTTTGCAGTAGAACTACAGGCATACTTTTTTATTTATTTATATCTATCTCTCTTTTTTTCTTTTTTGCTCCATACATTGACCAGGCATAAGCTGATCATACACTAGACACATTTTGGCCTGTGATGGCTTCTGATGAAGCAGTCAAAATTTTGCTTAGTGGGTAGCCGTGTTGGCCACCTCCTACCTGATGTCCTTCAATTGCAAATTGTCAGCTGAACAGTGGCTGCACCCAGTTACATGGAGCCACTGTTCTGGTATTTTGAAAGCCAGAGGGACTGACAAAAGCACAACAAGGGATTATCATCCATTAGCTCTGCGTGTGTGTGTGTGTGTGTGTGTGTGTGTATTTTATTTGCGAGCTGAACGGAAAAAAAAAACGTGTATGGCTAGCTGTACATCTTCCTATGGGACATGTTTCCCATCTATGCATTTTTCAGCCACTGCATTTTTGGAATGGTTCAGGGATATATATATTTTTTTTTTTATAATGTAAGTGTGTGTGTGTGTGATGTTTGCCAATAGGAAAGCACTGATTTTGATGTTACTTTGGATGGGTGCAACTTCATGAGACGTTGATCTGTCAATTGACTTTTCAATGGGCTTATTGGAAAATATACCTTCCATCAGTGAATACAGCCAATGGACTGCAGTGCCGCCTAATGTGCTCTAACGGTGGGAGAGTCCTGCTGTCACAATACAGAGATACAGCGGGAAAGATTTTCTTATTCGCCTTTTACTTTGTGGATGGGGGAATCGGCTTTGTTTTTTGTGTTTCCTTTTGACTGGCTAGCAAAAATAACCCTGAATAATGCATGGCCAGCTTTAGAGACAGATGCTTGTTAAGGAATTGTTTTCTAAGACAGTATGATTTTGTTTCCCCACAGATCGGCTGTATTTTTCCATCCTGTGCTGTAAACCAAAGACCTCACCAAGCACACATTACTTCTCCACCGACGATGAACTTCTGTATGAAAAGTAAGTGCACTTCTTTTGTGTGATTTTTGCACATAGGGCAGCCCATTGAAGTAGGTGGCCCTGAAAGCAATGCACATAAATGTGCATGCACTGTCACACTTGCTTAGGTGTGAACAGAGCCTAAGGCCTCATGTACACTGGACATTATAAAAATGCCAGTAGCGTCAGTTGTAGAATGCTGCATTCAAGAACTTTTTTGTTGCGGGTTGGTTTTTTTTTTATATATTTTTTTTTTTTTTTTTTTTTTTTTTGTGTTTTTTGCATTTGGCTTTTTTTGTGTTTTTCAGACTTTTGATAAAAGTGCTTGCGCCTTTTATCAAAATTTATACTCCCACAAATACTTCAGGCTCAAACTCTTAAACGCCGGATAGCCATGTTTTTACTATTTTAAAGCTTTTATCAGTGTTAGAGCATTTTTACAGCTAAAAAAAAACGCAGATTTTTTTAGCTGTAAAAATGCTCAACACTGATAAAATGTGAGCATGGACAAATAGGATAACATGCTGGGGAGATTGCTTTGCTGTAGAAAAAAAACCGCCAAAAGCTAAAAACAGCCGCTGTAAAAAACGTCAAGTGTGCAAGAAGCCTTAACCTCTCCCAACATCATGATGCTCAGAGCACTCTGGTATACAAATGAAGTTGATGAGGGGTCTGGCACATCCCAAGCTTTAGAGCCCACATTGACAGCTTGTAAGGTATAGGAGAGAGCAGGCCACACACCATGGTTACATGGAGGAAGCACTCTCACATCTGATCTGAGTATCTTACCATAACATTGCACTCTTGTCATTTCTGTATGGCACAAAGGGGTGAGTTTACTAAAGGGACAATTCACCTCATTCACTATGCTCTGGGACAAATTACTTGTAAAGTGCAACTTCCCCAGCAAAGTGAACAGATTTGCCTTTAGTAAGTCCAGTGACACCATCATTGTAAAGGATAAGGTATGCTTGTAACATTATACTGCATACTGTTTAATAAGCTGTGCCCAGCACGTTCCATGTAGCATTGACTACTGGTGTTTGTTTTATGTGTTTGCTTTTAGACTATTGTGTTGGCTACAGACTTGCGTTCTTAATTTTCACTGTTCCTTATTTGCCATTGACTGAGTGCATTACATTGGCAGCTCTGATGAACGAAGTATTACATCTGGATTACTGATTACGCTGTCATGTTAGTTTTACAAATGCTTTAATCTGAGGTGATTCTACTTGACACATAGTCATGTCAAAGGAAGAGAGATGTGTGTTTCTGTTGTTGCGCATTAAGGACTCTTATTCATGCTCTGTGCATTTTCAAACGTGTTTTACACATGTGACGTATGCACTTTTTTCTGGAGTTTGCACCAAAGATGCAGCAGGAAGTATTTTTTAAATTATTCATTAAAGCAGACCTTCAGTAAAGTGTCTTATCCTCTTCCCCAAACACTATGAATTTTTTTTTTTTTTTCCCTGATCACTTGGGGAGAGAGAATTAAGGAACTGTTTCCTCCAGCCTGTAGCAGACTAATGGCCTATTTTAGCCTAGCCATGGTTACTAGATGGGGCTTAAGGGATGTCCTTTTTTAAAGTGTATGTATAGCCAAAACTTTTTTTTTTTTTTTTTTGCTGGAGTAAGAATAGGGAAGGATTACAACCACTGTCAATGTTCTTCTTGTGATTTGTGTCCCCACTGGGAAGAAACACACTCTAAATTTGTTGGTGACCACCATCATGAGACAGAAGTTGATGGGAAATGCAGTTTTTTTTTTTTTTGTTTTGTTTTGTTTTTTTTTTTTCAGTTGACATTGGTAAAAGAGGATAAGTAAAATATTTCATTGGGGGCCTTTTTTATCCTGGTTATGACTGCCAACTATACACTTATGACTTTTTAAAACCTTCATTAACCTTGCAGCAGAAAATACTTTGCATGCATAACTTTGTGCATGTACGCTTAATTCTCAGTTCTGATGTCAGACAAATTATTCATAGTTCTTGTCAAGTTAACTGATGCACGCTGACCCTCCTAAACTTGGTCTGGGCACTTAAAGTATAACTAAAGGCAAAACTTTTTGGTTTGGTTTTTGGACAGAGTGGAGAGGGATTAGAACACCTATTAGATTTTTATTGCTGTCGGTGCCGCCATTAGGAAGATTCATCCTCATTGCCTTGTTTACCACTATCATTAAAAGTGAAAGGTACCAAATTTTGGGTTGTCCCAAGAAAAGTAATAGAGGGGTAATTTTGGGGACACTAGCTCTGGTGACCTGGGGGTCCCTAAGGAGTTCCCCCTAATTTGCTGAAATTTTTTCTCTTCCTGTTTTGGCTATAGGACAAGGAAGTAAAGGTAAATATCCCCAATGAAGAAAACATTTTGCCTAGATCGTTCTACTTTAAAGCTTTTAAAAAGCCACAAAAGGAGTAATAACACAAATCTTTTTGAAAAACTATACTGTTGCTATATAATGACATGCCAGGAAATCATACAGACTTGTAACATTACTGTAGGCCCGCTTTAAAGTGGCACTTCACTCTCTTAATCAACATTGACTATTTTTTAATCCTTATGCTGCTATTTATAGTAAACAGATGGGAAAGTAGATTACATTTACTTTGTGTGTTTTTTAAACTTTTTTTTTTTTTTCTCCATTTCTTCAGTTACTTCCTGGTTTCCAGACCTAGGCAAATGATGTTATACATCCCAGGGATTTTTGGGGAGTACAGGAGGGGCTTTCAGCTAAGCACACCCTCCTGCCTGATCTAAGGGCAGATGGCCTCCAGATTCCAAGAAGTAAATTCATCTGCCCTTAAGATGGCTTTCCAGAAATGCTAGAGGGGCGTTTTTTTGGTTTGTGCTGCTGAGATGCAGATGTAGTTCTGGTAGTTCTGCTTCAAGTTACTGCATGTTAGAGGGCAGCATTGAGGCAGAACTAGAGGCAAAACTTCTTTTTTTTTTTTTTTTTTTTTTTTTTTTTTAAATTTTGGATAGAGTAAAGGAGGGTTATAACTCCCAGTCAGTTGTGTGGTTTTTTTTTTTTGTTTTTTTTTTTCGCCATCTGTGCCATTTGAGGAGATTTCCCTTCACTTCCAGTCCCAAATGGGAAGTGAGAGGAAATCCCTGCAAAGTAAGGGAATTCACCAAAAATAGCGTCCCTATTGGATGATTTCCCTCTATTTGTTTTGAGGACAACCCAAAATATAATAAGATTTTTCTTTTACTGTCACTTTCAATGACAATCGTAAACGGGACATATTATAGCTCGTGGATCTCTTTAATGAAGATGCAGACTGCAAAAAAAACTGACAGGTGTTCTAATCCATCTCCATTCAATCCAAAACCTAAAAAAAAAAAAAAAAAAAAAAAAGATTTATAGTGGTCATATAAAATGTTGATTTAGGAAAAAACAGGCCTACTAATCTGCTTTTTGTGATCCAGTGTGGTAAACTATTTTATAACCACTGTTCATGCTATAACTATTTAATATTGTTTTTTTTTTTTCTTTTTTTTTTTTCTCTAGCTTCTATGCGGACTTTGGACCACTTAACTTGGCCATGCTGTATAAATACTGCTGTAAGCTAAACAAGAAAATGAAGGTGGGTTTTGTTGCAAGCTTGGTAGAACAAAAAATAGTAATAGAACAATAGTCAGCACTGTTCTGGTGGAGTCTTCGAGTCTTTGAGCCATTGCTGACTTTTTTTTTTTCTCTTTACCATCCCACATATTGAGCCATGTGGGATGGTAAGCAGTGTAGGAATTTAAAATATTTAGTATTGGATACTTTACATTTCCATCTGACTCTTGTTTGTGTTTTTTTTGTTTTTTTGGGGGGTTTTTTTGCTTTTGTTTTGTTTTTTTGTGATTACAGTTGCTGTCAACTTATCACTGGGTAATACTACTACCTGTAAAATTTTCATATAGATTGTTAATGTTACTGAAGGCATATTGATTACTACGTCTAATGCTTGCTATCAGGTTTTAGCCACAATTCTATCTAAGACAGAATCATTAGCAGTGTTTGGGCTCATGCACACAAGCATAGTTTGCTGCATACAGATCCATAATTCATAATCTGAACACATTAGTGTTGTACTGTACACTGTGGGCCCATGCACACTGCTTCATTTTGGTCCATAGCATTCAAGAACATATATTACAATTTTTTTACATGGTTGTGCCACCACCATAACAAAGTACATGTAGTACTTTGTCCCATGTAGCTTCCTAAGTCTAGTTATGAAGTCCGATCTCCCCTTGGAAGTAGATGGATCCGTCAAATGTGCAGCTTGTCTCAACTCAAAGCACTTTTCTGAGATAAGGACTGCAGAGGTAGAGAGGGTTTGTCAACTTAATGTCTACATTCCTCTTGCTGCAGCTGATCCCAAGAAGGTGCTTTAAGTTGTCCAAAGATGGATCAAAATTTGGACAGTTCAGCAGGGACTGGCCAAATTTCTATCAGTGTGTTGACACAGTGGTTGCACAGATGTCAGTCTGTCGACTGACTTATATACAACTGTCCTGGAAAACTTCCCTCCCATCAGCCCCCTGCTATGGTCTGCTGCGCTGATCTGTGTATTTTTGAAGGAAGGGAAGCTTTCCAACTTCAGACTACAATGACATGGCAGGGAGTATTCCCCAACCATCTTGAATATGTGAATGGGAGAAATGGGTCAGTGTTTTTTTTTTTTTTTTTTTTTTCAGTCCTCTGGTTGAACGAAAAATATAATGACCTATCTATGGCCAGCTTTACTGTGTTATGGGGAAATACCTGGATATCTAATATCATAGAGAAGCACTCTTTTTTGTTAAGGGGGAAATAGTTGGAATAAATTGTGGATAGGGAAGGAAAGACTTCTGGGGCAAAAAAGATAGAATAGCATGCCTTTACCTCCTTCCTTTTTTACTTTTTTACTAGAGTTTGCATTTCATGATCTGCTGGCAAAGCTGTTGTCATTCTCCTAAATTATATTTTTGTTTTTTAGTCCTTTTCTTTGACAAAGAAGAAGATTGTTCATTACACCAACAACGATCAGAAAAAACAAGCCAACGCTGCCTTTTTAATAGGAAGTTATGCTGTAAGTCCTTTGATTTACCACACCATGATGACTGCAGTAGGGATTCAAAGCTTATAAGATAACTTTGCTGAAAGTTAAAGGTTTTAAACTGTAGCAACCAGGCAGGTTTTTGTTTTTTTTTCCAATTGGTAGCTAGAACATGCTTGCATGGCATTAATATTATAACAGTACACAAAAAGGGTTGATTGGATGTCTGGCAGTGTAAACCTTGAAGACAGTTTGTCAGAATGGGGCATTGGACAAGGTAGCAGCTTTGGGTGCCATATATTTTGTTTGACTATAAGCATTGCCAAAGATGTAGGGAAGGTCCCTGTTTTGAATTTTCTATTGACATGGCCATCCCTATGAGATGCCAACTGCCTGAAGTGATAGGCAAGTGCACAGCTTTGACCAATTGTGCAATCTCCCTAGTTTATTCCAGGAGCATCAAGATTGTAGCTGGGCCCCCTGGACATCCATCGGGCTCTTGGCACCTCCTAAGGTTGCCTTGTGGATGATCCTGCTCTGGTAAACCTTATGAAATCAGCAGACGGTTGAACATCCTTTAATAATAACACAAAAATTGCATTATATATAAATTATACAGTTGAATTGAAGCAGTATATTTAAAAAATTTAAGAGTACGCATTAAAGTGCCACTAAGGCAAAATAAAAAAAATTACATACTGTATATAAAACAGCTTGTCACTAGCGTTAAAGAAACAGTCTTTTGTTTGTGGAGCTCCCCCCCCCCCCCCCCCCCCCCCCCCCCCCCCCCCCCCCCCCCCCGTAACTTACCTATTGATCCTGCTGTTGTTTTTTAACTTCCTTTTTTAACTCACCACACTCTGCAGGAAAAGTAGAAGGTAGAGAAGTAAGATGAAGTATTTAACACTGGCAGGAGTGCTTACAATGGTCAACTTTTTATGTTCAAACTTTATCTGCAAAGGAAATAAAATTGTTACAATAACTGCTTAAGTGTTAGCTGGAATTATGCTTTAATTTTTAAGTCACATATGTAAAGACGATCTAAATCTACTAGTCCTTCATAACAATACCATCTCCGGGTAGTGCTGCTGTCCAAAGGTGTCTCCATTGCGCCTCTATAGATAAAAGAGATCCTCTAACATAGGATGTGTTTTGGACAGACCTGCAAATGAAGATAAAGGAAAAAAAAAAAATAAAAACAGAAAACTAATGCAGCGACAACCTCTAAGGGTTGGTACAATACATTACATTTTTGTTTGAGTTTAGATATGTTATAAGATTTGATTAGAGAGCTCCCTGCTCCCAGACTCTTCACAACCTGGCCTGCTGAAGACCATCCCAGTGTCCATCAGATTTGGTGCTCTGTACCTCCAAACTGTACATTTTATATAATCTGCCTGATATATGGAATGATTTAAAATGGCTACTACCATTTTCTCTATCCTTGGCTCTGTGCATGCACAGAAATTCAAATAGGAGTGCAGAACTTTAAAGCTGAGCATCTCATAGCTGGCATTGTTCACCCTGAACAGGGCAGACAGTGAGTTAGATTTTATAGAAGTTCGCTTTTAGAATTAACTTTTTTGCTGCTTGGGCTTTGGAACTAATTTTAAAGTGCTTTTAGAATGTATTGGCTATTTAATGGGTTATCTGCTCTGTTCATTTATTGTGATATCAATAAGGTACTGAAATAAAGTATGCCCACTCCAAGTAGTGTGTCCTGTGTAATGCATGTGGTTGAATGACGGGCTTGGAAATCTCAGATTCACACTCCGTTTAAATATTTGATAGGAACGCTCAGAAAAGGCTCTTTAACCTGTTCGCCCATGCCAAGTGGTTTTGGAAAAATTGGTAAGGCTGCACAGAGCAGGTCTAGTTAGCCATTTTTATGCTTTTCTATGTGCCCTAAACTAAATGAACAATTCTCCCTTGCAGTGCCGATGCAGCCACATTGCAAGGGAAAATTGTAAAGGATAAGTTCACCTTGTTTCGGGTGTAACATGTTCCCGCTCCTGCAGGTCTCACTCCCCCCCTTTTCTGTGAGGATGCTGGTGAGAACCCTTGTATTTCATTGATTCTTCCTGGACTGAGTAATTTCCTGCCCATATTCGCAGTATGGACAGACTGCTACACTGACAGTATGCAGGAGCCAGCAATTTGCCATCCATGGGTTGAATGCTTTCCTGGCTTCTGAGAGAAAAAGAAATAGAAAATACCCATTATTATTTTTTTTTTTTTTTTTTTTTTTTTTTTATGTGCATTTATTTATTTATTTTTTTTCAACAGTGAACTTATCTTTAAAGTTTCCCGGGGTTGGACACTAAAATGGTGATAAGCTGTAGTAAGCTTTTGGGCAGCTTTTGTGATTTATTAATTTTTTTTTTTTTTTTTTCCTAATTCTCCAGATAATATACTTGAAGAAACTCCCTGAGGAAATGTACAGAATTTTACAGTTGGGAAATGTTACTTATCTTCCATTTAGGTAAAATATATCTTTTAAAAGTCAAATATGTTATTGCTAATTATCCCATGAATTGGAGAATTGAAAACCTTCATGGACTCTGCCCTCTGTGCTTTAAGGATACTTTCAGTGAAATGTAACAATTTTAATGTGGACATGGATATAGGAATACAACCAACCCAACCAGGGCTTTCTTGTCGTGACATTGATTTTGTACAGAACCTCACCTTGCAGTACTTTTTTGTGTCTTCTTACCAGGTGTTCTGCAAACACCTAGGCCTAATTCACAAAGGCAGTTTGGTTTGTACAGCATAAAATCCCATCGGTGTTGGGCACCCGGAGGACACAGGCGCAGTATACAACCTGCTGCCGACAATAAGATTTTATCTAGTGCTCAGTACAACAGCTCACTTCACTTTATAGTTTGAGACATCCATGAGTCAGCAAGGGAATAAGATTTGAACAGTTCCATTGCGGACAATAGGATTTGATTTGTCCAATCGCATGACAGTTTGCACTGGTGTGAACTGGGGCTTGGGTTCATTGTGCAGGGAGATGTCAACATGGCAAAATAGAAGAACAAAAGGATGAATGTTATCAGTAGGCCCAGAACTAAGCACAGGACCTCCCAAGTAATGGCGGTATGTGCGGCCGCTCTCTGTGTGTCCATACAGTACAACTCAGCCCAAGGCATGAGAAAGGGTGGCCAGCAACATGGTTTGAGGGCTTCATCCCCTTTTCAAGCCTTGACCTCCTGGGCATACTGATCAAATCAGTCCTTTTTGTTCTGTCTTGCCATGTTGACTTCTCTCACTGCATGATGAATCTAATAGTCTACCTTCCTGATGGTGATACTATTGTTTATAAATTGTTACAAGTCTTTTAATCTCTGCGCCCTGCTACTCTGTTCCCTTTTTCATGAGCCTGCTGCCAGAAGCCTGTCCACATCTATCACAGGCTGAAAGACATGGAGACTTTACTCTAAACGCAGTACTTATTATGTATGTAGTGCCATACTGTTCAGGGACATAATCCCCAAACACTGAATTCCTTCATTTGGGGCACATGTACCTGGACAGGAGTACTTCTCAGAACAGAGTACAACCATTTGCTGTGTATTTCAGCCTGTCTCAGGTGTTGGCAGGCTGCTTGCAGTAGCTAGTATGCTGCATCTATGTCTCGCTATGCCAGGTTTTTTACGCTGAAAAGGCTTAAAGTTGAGCTTTAAGTAAAAAAAAAAAAAAAAAAAAAAAAGGGGAACAGGCAGTATTGTTAATGTGGCAGAAACAGATTGCGTCTCTTCTACATAAAGCCCCTTTCCAACGGGCAACCTGGTCAGATTTCCCTGTCTGTTTTTCAGGCAGACCTAATCTGACCATCTATTGCCCTCTATGGAGCAGTGGATGTTAACGGACATGTGTTTTTTTTTTTTTTTTTTTTTTTTTTTTTTTTTTTTTGTTTTTTAGAGGGTCGGATCAAATGCAGGTGGGTGTAAACAGACGGATGGGGGTTTGTTCCCAATTCAACACTCGGATGTAAACAGACAGGCGGTCTGTTTACATTCGGCCACCCATAGAGGAAAGGAGTCTGTGTCTGCTCCTCATAAGTGAAGCGGACACAGACCTGTCATCCGCCTGCTCAGTGGGGATCAGTAGGCAGATCCCTAGCTAAGTGGGCTGATTCATTGACTGAGTCCGCCAATGTGAAAGGGGCCTTAAAGTTTCTTCCACTGTACATGCGTAGCTTAGTGCACAGTTTAGGCCCAGCTAGGTTAACTGATGTCATCTCGGCCCTGACAATTTAAAGTGGCCAGAGATCAGTACCTGGAAGCTGCCTGGCTGAAGATGACCGCTGTTGGCAGGAAGGTTCGGGACAGCACTGTGCTGGAGTGAATGGAAGTTAGTGTTAACAGCCGTGTGCATAAGACAGTAGTCCCATGCCTATGAACAGTCCATGGTTTCCCAAATCCAGCCATCAGCATTTCGTTGCTGTCTAATTGCGTATACTATTGAGTCATCTATATATAGTTTTTATTATTCCTTTTTATGTAACTTTTTTTATAAGGTGGTTGCACAAAATCTATTCATGTCCTAGGGTTTTTGTTTTTTGTGTGTTTCACATCCGGTACTGTTCATCCATTTGGCAAATGCTCTTGCTGAAAAATGCGTATCAGAAATATTTTGAAATGCACAATTCTAAAACTCATATTCACAAAAGCCCTGTGTAAGTGGTGCCCCATCTAACTGCAGGGGTTTGTGGTCCTGGCTTTTCTCCACTCCATCCAATACTTAAAGTGGCTCTACAGGCTGGAGGTGTTTAAAAATAACAAAAAAAAAAAAAAAAAAACATTCCTTGCATTAAGGTAAAAAGTGTCCCCCCAGTTGTATCAGATACACACTGCCATAAAGATTTACCTTTATTAAAGTCCTGTCTCGATCCAGCTCTGTGCTCATCTGCATGTTTAGTATTTTAGGAAAAAAAAATAACCTTCACAAGCATGGTAAAAGAAAAAAAAAAAGTTTTTATATTTGAATTGAAATTCGATGAATACTGTTGGTTGGTGTTTTTGTGTTTTTTGTTTTTTCTTCTTTTTTTTTTTTTTTTTTTCTGCACAGGTTACCTACTGCAGAGTTAGCAGTGTGCTTTTTATGTACTGACATTTCATGGCACTATTGTTTCTTAAATCAATACTGTCTTTTTAATTTATGCTTTGCAATGTTCAATCGTTTTTACTATAATTTTTTTTTATTTTTTTTTGTAAAACCAGATGGGCAGGGTAAAACTATTTGCTGCATAGCAGTAGTCTGTTATTGAAGACCTAACATGATTGCTTTTTGTTGCAGGGATGCCTCGTTTGGTACCTGTAGTTTTCATCTAACTCTTCTTGACTGTTTCCATGCTGTGCACAAGGTGAGGTGTCAAAGAAATCCCATGCCTTATGTTGAAAAGAGCTACAGGAAGGATGGGAGAAAAGAACAGTAAAAAATACACAAGTAAAGTCTAATGAACCTATAGACAGTTATGGATAGCGCTTGCTGATCTGTTGGGTACAGGCTTGGTTTATTTAACATTACATGGCTTACAGTTAATTAGCTCTTGCTTTGATTGTGTGACTGTAAAGCCCTTTTTTAGAGGTGTCTATATATTCAGAAACTTTTCACAACCGGTCCGATCTAGCATCAGTTTGATCTGTTAGGTCGGCAAAATGTTTTGGTAATTATCCTGCAGATAAAAACTAGAAAAAAATCATTGGATCATTTCACACAGGTGGCAAAGGGGTGGTAAAAACAAAGCGGCTGATCTGCATTTTTTACTGCCACCCCTGACTACCCACTTAAATCCTGACATTGCACCCAGGTGGTGTATTATACATGGCGCAGCTGAGATGCTTTGCTTCATGGCAATGGCAATTTTAACTCTGTAGAGTTTGACAGGCGGCCCTTGCGATTTGAGTTGTGACATTTCAATACAAAAACCCCCCTTTTGGGATTAAAAAAAAAAAAAAAACCAAGGCATTAATTAGGAGGCAGAATCGCTTCCTGACTATCTGGCAGCTACTGCCCTACAGAAAGCATTCAGCTGTGCATCTAGCCACTTGCCTGATATTTAATTGCAAACTCCATCTTTGTTTAGAAAAAAAAAAATGCAAATATACAGTATTTGCAGGTAAAAAATAGTGTGCATCATGCTGCTATTTTTCTTTTTTTTGCAAATAAGGCTTTGAAGCATCGCATCCATGATCAGTGGGTCGTGGGTGCAATGCCAGGCTCCTGCAGACTTTCTTCAGCTCCCTGCCCATACTGGGGTACAGACTGTTACTGAGCTGGAGGAAGTGTCAATGGTCTGAGTGCCGTGACCACCACACTTGTTTTTCATTGATAACTAGTCCATCTGCAATGGTGGTAGACTTGTAGTTCATTTATTTACTGCTCTCTGAATTCATGGCATGTCTGTTTTGGGCATAGCATGCACAGCCACACAAATTTCAAAAGTGAAAGTGGCTGCAGGTGAGAAGAACCTCTGCATACTGTCATTGGAGGAGGTTGGCAGTGGCATTTGCATCATGTTACATTTAATACCTTAAATATGGGTGTTACATGGTGCAAAAAGTGGCGTTGGCCTTAAGAATAGTCATTACAAAACTGGTGAAAGATCTGTAAAGAAAAAAGCTAAATTAACCATTTGCCGCCCGCCCTATGGCCAAACGGCGGCCGGCAAATGTCATCACCGTTCCGGGTGGACGCCATATGACGTCCTCCCGCACATGCGCAGATCGCGCTCCTGCAGAGCCGCGCAGGTGGAAAGCTTTACTTTCTTCATTCACTGTGTGCACTGCTAGTGATATGGAGTCGTGTTAGAGCTTAGTGAGCTTCAAAGAAGAATTGTTGGTGCCCGCTTAGCTGGTGCCTCTGTGACTGAAGTTGCCAATTTGACATGTCACAAGGTACAGTATCAAATGTTGACAGCATATACTATTTCCCGGAAAACGTCTGATAAACATAAGCATAGTCAACTGACCGAAAGGACATTGCGCAGGATTCTGACCCAAAATAAGAAAACTGCTGCAAAAGTGACTAAAGAGCTCAATCTCAGTCCCATGAAGACTGAGATTGAGCTCTGCAGTCACTTTTGCAGCAGCTATTTTTATGCGCACCCCCCCTGTTTAATATTTTACACCTGGTCTGTGCAGAGAAAATACTTTTCACTCTAGATTAGCCTTTCTCAACTTTTGTACCCAGGAGGGACCCTTGAAATTTCCCAGTCTAGGGAAAACCCTTCTAAAAGCAATTGAGAAAGTGCACCTTACATTAATGATCATTAGGGTGAATTCTTTGTATGGATTAAAAATGGCTAAAATCTCATTGGTGGCACAATTTTGTTTTTCGTATATGTTAGTTGTTTTTAATATACTCCCTTTTTTTTTTTGTTTTTTTTTTTTTTTTGTAGGCTTTACAGTATCAGTTCTTTGATTTTAGAAATTTCGATCTGAACGAATACCAGCATTATGAGGTAAGACTCCCACAATTTCTATGGAAAGTGCCCTGGCTGGTCATCAGCCTTCCTGTAATTAAATTAAACTGTAAAAGCAGGAGACGCTCTTGTGTTTTAACTGATAATGTTTATTTTTTTTTCTCAGAGGGCTGAAAATGGAGATTTCAACTGGATAATCCCAGAGAAATTTCTAGCTTTTAGTGGACCCCATCAAAAGAGCAAAATGGAAAATGGTATGTAATAAGAATGAAGAAAATGCTATATGTAAAAACAAGATTGGTGTTTTACACCAATAAAGAAACACCATGGAAAGGGTTTGTTTCAGGTTAACAACCAGCCCAAAAATGGTGTGCATCTCCTGGCCTGCCAGTCAGTGATTTTTGCTTTAAAACAGAAATGTTTAAAGCAACAGAGTTGTTTTTAAAACAAACCAAAGTAAAAGAAAAATTGCTTGTAAAAAATGACTTGATGCAACACGCGTTCCGTGCAGGAGGCGGGGCTGTCCACCATCCCGCAGGTAGCGAGACTTGGTGCTATGATCATTCGGTCTGCACGTTGTGGTCCTCTGGTGGTTATGGAGGAGTCATGTGTTGGTGACCACCGCCATTGGAGGCGGCATTGACTAGCTCTGGCAAGTGGCACTGCGGCCCCGTCCTCTGCGACATGGACTCTCCGGGGGGTATTGGTCCTGCGGAGTTTCTGGGGGCAAGCTTCCATGGGGCTGTGAAAAGAGTTCAGAGTGATTCTTTGCCCAGGAGAGGTGCACACTGTGGGGCTTTGCCTGGACTCCAGTGTGGGTCCCTGGACACTGGGTTGGGCTCCCCTCTGGGGTAGAGGGGGGGGGGGGTGGCCAAGGATGTGGGTTGGGGCAGCAGTAGGCTGGGTTGGGCCCAGGCGACCCGGCGCTTGGGATTTGTCAAGCCCTGCTTTACAACTACTTTAAGGTGTGAAGAGGCCACCATACCCTCCTCTCCAGCAGGTGGCAAATTATCCGGTTGCTTTCATCTAGGACTTCTGGCTAGAACTGATTTCCAAGGTAGCCTATTTTTAGATTTTCACAGCTCTTACTGTGAAGAAGCCTTTTCGTGTGTGGAAGTTAAACCTATTTTTTCCTCTAGTCCTAGTCCTTTTTGAAAGTGAACCTTAAATTGAATACCTTTGCACCAAGTACACTATATGGACCTTATATATTTATACATGGTGATTTTATCTCCCTTAATTACCTGTTCTACAACCCAGGAGTGGGGGGGTGGGCAGTGTGGATTGTCATTGACCTGGTAATCTAGCTGTAGAAGAATAACCTGCAAATCTTAGCTTATTTCTTGCTCCAGCAAGCTTCTTTGGCACTGTGTAGCCTGTTTCCCAAAGTCTTTTCTTGAAGGTGCTCCAGCTGATCTGGCAGTAGCATACTGATGTGTCTAGCACAATGCATGACAAATAGCCCCACATTCTATTGTATGTGAGGACAGCGAGGGCCTGCCCACAGCCTGGAATACTAGAGGAAGGGGTGAGTGCTGGAACGAGGAATAAGGTGCGTATTACAGCTTATTCTTCTACTCCTAGACTTGGCAAGCATGTAGCCTTTGCAGTATTGGGTGGGCCTTGGGTGTGTTTTTGCAGGCAACTTTTGTTTTAGAAGGCAGAATGCTTTTTTCAAGTAACATTTGTTTTTCTTTCCCAGCAAAGCTACATCACAATTTATCCATAAATTATTTTTTTTTTTTTTTTTTCCAGGTTACCCTCATCATGCTCCAGAAGCATACTTCCCATATTTCAGAGCACATGACATTTCTACTGTTATACGTCTAAACAAAAAAATGTACGAAGCAAAGCGGTTTACAGATGCCAGCTTTGAGCATCATGACCTTTTCTTTGTTGATGGAAGTACTCCTTGTGACTCTATATTGAAGAAGTTTTTAAACCTCTGTGAAAACGCAGAAGGTGCTATAGCTGTACACTGCAAAGGTTGGTACATTTTGTTTGAAATTTGTACAGATTCTCCTGTAGTTTTTTTTTTTCTACACGGCCACCCACTTGGATTGAATGTCCATAAATTCCTGAATCCATTTTCTTCTGTAGCAGTTACATGGTCTACTCCTTGCAGAGTCATTTTGGATAGAGAATACCTAGGCTTGGTTTCTGGTACTTTTTGGAAGTAGTTGTTCTGCTCCTATATTTTACCCTTTTATGGGCTGCCATACAAACTGGCCATAGTTTAGGATTTTAATTGGCGAATTCTTTCAAGTGTTCCATTAAACTGCTGCTCTCATGCACAGCACTGGATTGCAATGGGGTTCAGGTAAGGATGGGTGGGAGGAGAATGAGGGCTAGGGGGGATCCCAGGCACAACAGGTTTTTACCTTTTTAATACATAGAATGCATTAAGATAAAGAAAAACCTTAAGGCTTTACAAACACTTTAACTGATTTATATCAATGGGTAAGTTCACCTTCTGCACCATGTGACAAGTGATACCCATATTTGTGTAACATGCACCAATACCAATAATAGCTGAAAGCTGGAGAGTGACTGTGCAGGAGCCTGAAATTGCATCTGTGATCTGTTGGTCATATGTGCAATACTTTGCAGGCTCCTGTTACCATTTTTAACCTGCATTTATTATTTCAGTAAAAGGTGAACTTTGCCTTTTTATTGTAAATGCAAATAAACTGCTCGCATAAACTATTAAAGGATAAGGTCACCTTAGGGAGCATGTTACACTTGTACGTAGGGTGTGACATACTCCAGTGGTCCCCACCCCCAAGCCCCCCTCTTTGTCCTTCCCTGTGATAGCGGGTGTTGGTTCTTCTTCCTGCACTCGCTGTCACAATTTAAAAATCGTGTGGCTGTGCGAGGTTTCTACCACACCACTGCATCATTCATTCACAACACTGCAGGAATTGACTAAAAGTGCCATCTGCCACTGTGGCAGATGGCTTATAGTTCTCAATTAATTGCAAGGGCGCTGGTGATAGTTCTTTTGATTTTCCTGCTCTACACAGTCTGCCTGTACAGGAGGTATGAGCAGACAGTTATACTGAGCGTCTTCAGGAGCCTGGTATCAGTAGATTACAGGTGCAATGCTTTCCAGGCACCTGCAGGAAAAAATAATACATTTTAATTTTTTTTTTTTTGTTGTTTTTTTCTCCTTGCAGAAATATGTGCATTATTATTATTATTATTATTATTATTATTATTATTATTATTATTTATTTATTTTTTTTCACAAAAGGCTCAACTTAGCCTTTAACTAGAAAAGCAGAAAAAAAAGAGATATCCGATAACACCTACTTTGCTACTTCTGTTCCACATTTCATCTCACACTGTATTGTTGGAAGAACTAGGTGCACTGCCATGTTCTGATTTCTAGAGCCATTGAATTGATTGAGGTGTCCCCAGGTTTTGATGGCCATTGAGAATCTGCAACAAATGATGATTCATTGCCATTGATCACCAACCAGTGGTGTCTAATGTTCAATTGTAAATGTTTGCTGTGGGTAAGGTCCACAACGTACCAGGATTGCTTTAAATCCAATATTGCTGATACAGTCTTTGAAAGTCTTACTCTGTAAAACCAGATAAGGTTGTACACCAAATAGGTGTGTTGAACATGGTTGGTCACCCTATAGGTTAGGAACTGCAGGTGCTTCTGTATGACTTTCCGAGGATATCTTTTTGGTTAACTTTTTTTTTTTCCCCTCTTTCTTGCTCAGCTGGACTAGGTAGGACAGGTACCCTGATTGCATGCTATATGATGAAGCATTACAGAATGACCGCAGCAGAATGCATTGCTTGGATTCGGATATGTAGACCTGGCTCTGTGATTGGACCGCAACAGCAGTATCTTGTGGAGTAAGTATTGCTGATGAATGGGTACTTTCTCAGTTTAAAGCTCTGTACACAGCAGTAAAAGCAAAGTTTTAAAGCCCCAATGAAGGTAAAAGTGCATATGATTTGACTTTGTAAGTTATCTTGTAAAGTATTTACTTTGATGCAGTCAATTTTTCTCTAGCCATGCTATCCCTGCTAACTGGTTTTCTCTTGAAGCTTCCCAAGTGAGCTGAAAACTTTCCTTTTTATGCCTAAATTCAGTGCACATCATCACATCCATTATGGGAAGGACTCTGTGGCCTTCTGAATCCTCTACCTGTTTCTTTGCTCCTTTGGAAAAAAAAAAAAAAAAAAAAATCAGTGTAAACCCAGCTGTTGTATCATATCAATTTTAAAAAGTTGCCAAGGGTAGTTTAATTTGGTTAATGATCACTAATCGTTCCATTTTTATGACCATGACTGTATTTTTTTTTTTTTTTTTTTTTCCATGTATTTTACAGCAAGCAAGTGAGCCTTTGGATGGAAGGAGACATTTACCGCAAAAAACAGAGAGAGCAGGAAAATGGAAACAAAGTGTCAGTGACATTTATACTTTCTGGAGTAGATGACATTTCTCTTCGGGATGATATGAGCAAAGCTTCTGGCAAAGAAGACATTGAATTGGTAATCTTCTGTAAACATGTGACATCAGGCCATTTCGGAATCCTCATTGTAACTACAATTTGCAGAGAACAAGTCACAAATGACGCTGTTCAATGCTGTGGGTGATGTTAAAGGATAACTAAATCCAAGAACAAAAATTTTAATATATTGCACCTTTTAGTCCTTACATGTGGTAGCTGTATTTTTTTACACTCACTCTAAAATAAGTTACACACATCGCTATTTTTCTCGGAGGAGGGATCAGGATCTAATAGACCCCAGGTCTTTCCATAAAGAGGACCTGTTGCTTTCCAAGCTATCACAAGGGTTCATCTCTTTTGATGACGATAAAGATGAATGGAAAGTAAAATACAAAAATTTTAAATTAAAATAAAAAGAATTTAAAAATTGAAAGCACCCGTCCCCTTGTGTCTACATGCAAACACACACGTAGGTCCCGCGCACCATATAAACCGTGATTGCACAACACGTGAGGTATTGTAGCAAATGTCTCAGTGAGAGCCATAATTTTAGCACAAGAACTCACATTTAACTCGGTACTGGTAACCTGTAAAGAGAGGTGTGTGTGTGTGTGTGTGTGTGTGTGTGTGTGTGTGTGTGTGTGTGTGTGTGTGTGTGTGTGTGTGTGTTGTAACGCAATGCTAATGGCGATTTTTAGGTACCATAGTTTGGCACCATTTCATGGATGTGTGAAATTTTAAATCTTGAGCTGCTCGGTATCTATTTTACTCATTGCAACATCTATTTTACCAAAAAATTGGGTTTTAAGTTTGTGCATTTAGGTGTATTTTTCCAGAAAATTTTGTGGAAAAAACAATAGATGTTCGTCTCTCTTCCTAACTGGGAAATGTAAAGACTTTCCAACTCCTACTTTGGAACCCCTGTCCTTTTGAAGGTTATTCATACCACATTGGTATAAACAGTTACAGGAGTTTGGCTCCCACAAGCTATTTGGCTGATGCTATTTGTCATATTTTCTCTGTGCAGTGCTTCCTGGATGGACCAGATTGATTCTGAGTGACCAGCGCTGTCACAGTGAATCTATCTGGCTAATCTCAAACACTGTATGGAGAAGGGAGAAGAGCTGGGATTTCAAATTCCCAGCCCACTGGATCAATTAGAGGGGTGCTGATAACTGATTACACTTTTAGGTATCATGATAAGCCTTTTCCTGCATGCTTCGAATTGTTAGGTATACTGGATTATGCACCCAAACTGCTGTAAAGTTTCCTTGTTTTCACTCCTACCTTTTTTTTTTATGTTTTTGTTTCTGTTTTTACAGTACAGTGATGATGAAGAAGCCAATGGTGTTACCCAGGGCGATAAGCTCCGTGCCTTGAAGTGCAAGCGACAAACAAGAACGTCAACGTCGGCTCCATTGTCGTAAGTTTCTCACAATGATAAAGCTAGTATTAGGCCATGCTGGTTCTGTGCCAATACTGCAGAATATATTTTTAAACTTGCTCTACAGATTGAAAGAATCCTGTAGTTCAAATTTAAACAAAAGGTTGTAGTGTATGCGTTCTTTATTGAAGAATGTAGTGCTTACCTGCCTTTCTAAACACCTTTTTTGAAGGCTTTAGTGTCTAGCCATCCAGAATGATGTCCTCCACATTGTAACTAGATAACAGAAGGTAGATTATTATGAGCTCAAACATTTTGAAGGCATCTACTACTGGAGGTGTATGTGCAGAATGTGGCTTGGGTGTGTGAAGCTTGCTTATGGGGCCTGTCACCATCACTGGGATAGGGTAGATTATGCCACTAAAATCCTGTGGAGTTTGGACAGTCTGTTGGGGGATAACACTTAGAATAATGCATTTTGACTTGATTTTTGTCCTGGTTTGCCTGTGTTTTTTTTTTGTTTTTGTGGTTTTTTTTTGGGTTTTTTTTCTGGCTTTGGCTGCTGACTTGATATAAAATGACTGCTTATTTTCATGGTCTGTCATGTACTGATCTGTCAACTGGCTATTGTTGGTTTGTGATTTGGTAGCTAACTTTAGGTAGTGATTTTTCCTAATCCTTTTGAAGAACAGGAGTCTATATTTGGCTTATATCTTTTAACCTAACAGTTGAGATTGTTTGAATGAAGTTGGGGTTATCAAGTGTTTTTATTATCTTTGGTGTGGCTCACCAAAGATAATAAAGAATTGAAATTTCAGGATTGCAGACTTCTAGGCCGTCTGTCAGACTGCATCTTAATGTCTCAGGCAAAAGTCTTGTCTTTTTAAAGTTTTGTGTTTTTGCTTTCCCAGGGCAAAGTAACCAGTCCATTTCAATGTCTCCCACAAGCTGGATATACTTGCCTTCCCTTTTACTTCTTTCTCCCAGAATGCAGCATCTGTTTGATGCGCTACAGTTCACCAGACACCAGCAATGTCACATATAAGCTCCAGCAAGAGTGACAGAGCTTGACACTGGGTTTTTATTTTTTAGTTTTGTTTGCTCTTAAGTGAAACTGTAGCTTTACTGTGCATGGAATTAGCACTGGTTCCCTTTTTAAAGTTAGTTTCCATAAATTTTTACAATTCAGCATGAATACCGGCCATATAGGAAGTTGCACTTTACACTTAAAAGGTTCACACGCTGTCATAGGCAGCAGAAGTCACAAATCCTAAAGACAAAATCTATAGTGTTTTTTTTGTTTTTTTTTTTTTTTTTTTTTTTTTTTTTTTCCCCCCATTTTTGGATAGAGTAAGAGGACTATAACCCCTCTCAGATTCCCTTTCTTCCTGTCCCATAGGCAAAAGAGAAATGCAAAGAAATCCCTGCAAATTAAATGAATCTCTTGGGGACTTCCAGGTCACCATAATTAGTGTTCCTATTGGACAATTTCCCTCTGTTATTTTTCTGGGGACAACCCAAAATTTGGAATTTTTACTTTCACTGTTTTGTGGTAATTGGTAAACTGTACAGATAGGGTGAATCTGCCTAACTGGGACACCGACCATGAGTAAAAATCTAATAGGTGTTTTAATCCATCTCCTCTCTGTCCAGAACTTAAAAAAAAAAAATTGTTTGCCTTTTAGTCATACTTTCAGGAGCAAATGTTCCTCCTTGACCTAACTCAGGTTACACCAGTCCATTCTTTAAAGTAAACCTGATCTTGGCTAATGTTTCTAAAGGTAATATTACCATTGTGTGACCTGCAAGTGCCTGTGTTTGTTTTTAAACTGATCTATGTGCCCTTGTGGAGCTCAATGGATCCTAGGTCCAGGCTTTACATGGATCCTCAACTACTGACTAAATTGAAATCCTGCTCCGTTTCCTATCTGAAAGTCAGGATAGTGCAGGGCTTAATTTCCATTTGGGCAGCAATCATATGTTCATGTAAAGCTCTGGACCTTAAATCCAAAGGACTTGCATACGGACATGGGACCTTGATCTACATACCCTGTATCTACTTTTAGGTTCCACCAAGGGCCCTGAACTTCAGCATTTACCTTAGTAATATTTTGGCCAAGATGTGTTTAATTTTAATGTTTGCCAATACTTGCATTAGGTCAAATTTTCCTTTAGCAATCTTGTTACCCATCAGTGTCACCTTTTTTTTTTTTTTTTTTTTTTTTTTTTTAAATTTTTTAAATTTTATTGAAGTAGAGTTTAAAACCAAATTCTCTGTTTTAATTTTGGGTCTTGACCTGCCTTGTTTTACATGTACCACATATTTTTAGGTAACGTGTTTTTAATTTTATTAGTAAAATATATGTAGTATTTGAATTGTGCAACACAGCAATCATAATTTTTATATGTGGAAATTTTTTTCAGACTCCCTCTATTCTGACAATTTATGTTCTTGTTGGATTTTTATATATATTTTATATTTATATATATTTTTTTTTTATGTTGCAGTGAGTGCATCTGTTGGTTAACCCTTTCTTTCAATTGTGCAAGAGTAATTGTGACCTAACAAAAATCTGAAACTGGATTAACCTTGTTTGTTTAAAGTACAACTGTGGCAAGGCTATGGGCATGTAACTCTTTTTTTTTTTTTTTTTTTTTTTTTTTTTTTTTTTTTTTTTTTTTACAAATTCTTAACAGTCAGCAAATGTGCTTTTTAAGCAAGACCTCACTGTCCTCTGTAGGTGAAAACACTGTTGACCAATTTGTCCTCCAAGTTCACAAAAGGAATGAAGTTGTTTTAGTTTGACCTGAGCACTCTGAACTGCAACAAAGAGCAAGGGCACAGATGAAATGAGCAGATTAGAAGGATTTACGGGGGGAGGCCTAACAAACTAATAGGAGACAGTGAAAATGTTTAGAACTGCCTTAGAATTTTGAGAGTGATTGCTTCATGGTGCCTGCAGTTATGGAGGTCAGTGATTGTTTTTAGATACATTTACTATTGTTACTAATACTGTATATACCTAGTTAAACTTAAGTAGCTTTGCCACAGTTTTACGTTTAAAGTTTATTACAGTCATGTTTTGTCCTTGTTTTCGTTATATTGTCCCAAGTTTGGCCCATACATTTGCAGAGCTTTTGGTCTTGGACAGTCTGTGCTGTCCGGTCAACTCTTTGAGGGCCTTGAGCCTTTAAGTTTTTTTTTGTGATTTCTGAATAAACAAATTATTTACATGAGGCAAGACTCAATGAATCTACAATCCACACCCGATTATCTGGAGTCTGTGTAAATTTTACTTTTTTATTATGTAATTTAATGATTGCTTAAAGTGGAACTGAGCAGCAGTAATTCTTTAGGCGGTCAGCTGTTCGGCCTCTACAAATTCGACACAGTGCCTATAAATCAAGAGTAACTGAGCATGTGCAGAGTAGGGGAAGACCGTGTATTACAAGATTGTAAACTGTATAGGCACTTAATTTTAATGTTTTTATATTGCTATTTCTGCAAAAGGGGCCAGCCTGAAGTGATGTAGCAGGACTTAATTTTCTGACTAAAGTACCACTTTAAGCCTGAATAGTTTGATTATTGCCTAAGCCCAACCAAAACGGTCTTTCCGTATGGAAGTGCATATTGGTAAAAAGGCTTATGTAGAAGTGAGAACCTCATAGACCTGCTGACTTTTTTTTGAGACCTATGCGTGTCAGGTCATGCAGTATAATGAATTCAACCAAACTTAATGAAAAATGGCTAGACTCAGGAAATAGGTGACCCAGGAAATGGGTGCCAATTGTTTTTTTTAATACTATTTATTCATATCAGTCCATGTTCTCAAGGAGCTTACAATCCTCTCTCACATACATATGTACTCTTGTTAGGGACAATTTCTAAACCGGAACCAATTATTTTGTTTCATTAAAAGAATCTCTAAATGCAAAAACAAAAAATGTAATGTATTTCAGCTTACTGAACCTTAGATGTGGCAAATTTGTTTATTGCTTTTTTTTTTTTTTTTTTTTTTATTCAGGCATTTTATTTTTTCACCTGGTAATTCTGCAGAAAACACCCATCCTGTGCTTGGATGGTTATGCTTGCTCAACCACTGCTTTCACAATAGAGGCAGTGGAGATCACTTTTTTTTTTTTTTTTCTTTCCCTTACATTTCATTGTAGATGGGGGTATTGGATGTTTAGAAAAATAACATTGTTTGGGCATAAAATTGAGCTCACAGAAAGTGATAAACACTGCACTTCTCTCATGATCAACAGGTATTTTTTGTATTTGCTGAAAAATGTTTTTAGTTTGGAAAATAATCTCCACCACAAGGTCGATAAGCTGCAATATATTGCTTTTGTTTTTGGGTTTAGATTTCCTTTTAACCAAAGCTGTGTCTGTCTCATAATGTTGCCCTCAAGACTTGCCAATAAAGATCAATCACATATCACTGCTATTGCACCATCAACAGCATACCAAGCCCTGCTTCTCCATCTCTATTTGTGTTCTTCCATCTTTTCCCCTTTTAGATGGGCCCTAGCTATGCTGTTCTCTACACTGTGTGGCATAATCACCTGGTGGATTGTGTGGGGCTCCCCTCTGCCCTTCCTGCTATTCTGTTTTGATGGTTTAAGAACATAATAGCCTTCAAGACCATGGTAAAATGGCTAGTGTAAGTGCCCCATTAGATGTGTTCTGTCATATGTGTCAAGTGCATGAGCTTTGTCTGCTTTCCCCTGCTTTTTCTTTCACTGTTTTAATGTTAAATAAATTTAACAATGAATTAAAAATTACTACTTTGCAACAGTAAATGCCGGTTCACATATATTCAGATTGGATGCAGTTTGAGCCGCATCCAATCCTCATGACATGTGAAATAAACTTTTCTTCCTATGGTGTTTGTTCACATATGTCCAGAGCACTGGCAGCGCAGATTCAGTGCGGTTTGAAAAAGAGTCCTGTACGATTTCTGAGCAGTGTTTTCAGGTTCAGGTGAGGATTACAGGCTATTGACTTCTATGGGAACCGTTTCTAAACCGCATATGTGTGAA